ATATCATTCAAGCAAAGAGGCGAAAGATGAAAGAAAAAAGAAAGACAGACTAATAAGAACATATAGAAAAAATAAATGAGAAACGTTTATAATAATGAAATATTACGTTACATTATACAAAGCAATAAATATAATTTAGTGTTATTTCAAGTAAGTAAAGTTAAATTACATTCTGCGCTTTGCTGAAGGAGTATAAAAGCAATACATTTTACGCTTTGCGCAGCAAGCATAAAAGCAATACATTCAGCGTTGTGCGCAGCAAATAAAAAAGCAATGCATTCTGCGTTGTGCGCAGCAAATAAAATACCAATGCATTCTGCGTTTTGCGCAGCGAATAAATAACCAATGCATTCTGCGCTTTGCGCAGTGAGTATAAAAGCAATGTATTCTACGTTATGCGCAGCAAATAAAATACCAATACATTCTGCGTTTTGCGCAGCGAATAAAAAACCAATGCATTCTGCGCTTTGCGCAGTGAGTATAAAAGCAATGCATTCTGCGTTGTGCGCAGCGAATAAATAGCCAATGTATTCTGCGCTTTGCACAGCGAGTATAAAAGCAATGCATTCTATTATTTACGCACTTTATAGTGTACAAATGAAATATGCGCTCGATTTATCTACCTGCATTCTGCGCTGTGCGCAGTGAATATTTTTACTGTGAAGAATATAGTGTTAATAAAATTAATATATTTTATTAGTATTGTACTAAACGACAAGCATCCATGATCAGTGTGCACATGTTAAGTACTGTATTAATGTTATATATGTATAAATAATGTGCACACGGGTACATTTATATCTTTCTATTAGAGTGTTAATTAGATATTATCTAATACCCTAATAGCACAGATGTCCAGGCGACATCCAGAGGACATCCAGAGAACATCCTGAGAACATCCTGAGGACATTCTTCGTCCTCAGGACGTCCTTAGGACGTCCTCAGGAGATCTTGTGCTATTTGGGTAGTTTGGTATGATTGCACGCCGTGTATACTGCAATAAGATGTAAAGTATAAGTACCTGTGAAGAGACAATAGTCTGGACATTGCAGTGTGGAAAAATTGGGAATAACTGATATCGTATTCGATATGTGTGTGTGACGTGTCGAACTATTTTGTAAATAATGCTGTATATTACTTTATGCATTACATGTTACAGAAATACTGTTGATAAAGTAATGTTTTTCATACGTGCTACTTTATCATATGTAATAAAAAAATATACATTTCAGCACATGCGTATACACATGCACACACCCTCGCTTGGCATGATTCTGCTCACGCGTGAAAGCAGTACGCAGCGGCTTTGCTGCGATAGAATAAACGAATGTCGTTTAATCATAACATGTTATTAGCATACCTTCAACACAAAAAACCTACTTTTTTAAAAAATGAAAAATGCATCAGATGAGGGAATGAGAATTGTTAATTTCTTTTATAAGAAATATAAAATATTGTTAGATTCTTATTCAATGATCAATAAACTGTGTAATTATTCAATGATCAATAAACACTTTTTACCTTTAATATTGAATATATAACGAGTAACAAAATAATGTACAAATATGGAAAGAATCAATTTTTATTAAAATACTTGTTAATCGTTTAACTTGTAATTTTTCCCATTTTTTTGGATATATTCCACACTCTATATTCAGAGCTAAATGTATTTTTTTAATGTCAATTGATCACTGAATAGGAATCAAACAATACTTTATATTTATTTGAAAAAAATTTATAATTCTGATTCCCTTATTGAATATACCTATTTATTTTGTTATAAAAGTCAGGTTTAATGTTAAAAGTATGCAAATAACGTTTCAGGATGAAACGGAATTCGTTCATTCTATCGCAACAAAGCCGCTGCGTATTACTTTCAACAAGATCATGCCAAGCGAGTGTGTGTGCATATGCGTGTACCTAACTGTATATTTTTTCTTGTAACTCATCAAGTGCAAAAAATACAAAGACAGTTTAAAGATTGTACGAATCTTGCTTATTGTCTCAGAAAACATGTAAATTTTAATATTAAAAAATATTTAAAATACAAAAATTGGACAATATTTAAAATACAAACATTTCAAAGTGATGAAAATGTACTTTTTAATCGCTCTAATTCCATAAATTTTCACCAAATCTTCGTCTATAAAGCATGTATTCATAATTTTAACATAAAACTTGTCTCATGTGAGATATTCACATTTTATTCTTCGCAGGTTAGTGAAAAAAATTCTTTTTGCACCTAAAAATCAACTGAGAATTTGTAACATATAACTGAATTATTTTTTAATTCCATGTGCTATCTGGGAAGATTGTAAGTTTCTTAGTTTCTTAGTTACCTATATATTGTCCTTATTAAATTTTATCATATTAAGAATTTTGTTATATTTGTATTAAATATGACGTTCAGAAAAACATTAGTACAATTATTATAAGTGCCCTTATAGAAATATCATACTAAGAATTATTGATAATTACTTATTATCCAGTATTTTTAATACTGAAAATAAGTAATTATCAATGATTCTTAGTATGATATTTCTATAAGGGTGCCCGCTAATACGCGGATACTTGGATTGGTACGAGTCATTCCAAGTTTCCATACATATTTCTTTCTAGGTAAGGCATCGCGCGAAAAGAAGAACGGGTGAGAGAAGATGAATCATGTGTGTATATGTGTGTGTGTGTGTGTGTGTGTGTGTGTGTGTATGTGTGTGTGTGTGTGTATGTGTGTGCACAAGCGAGAAGATCGCTACTGGCTCGTGTCTGCTGCCGCGATTGTTAGCTCGTCGGTAGTCAGACAAGGACAGATAGATATTCGCTATCCGTCTTTGTTTAACTCATACCAGTCGTAGCATGGAACAGAACCTCATTACATTTACCATGTAGTTGCTACACTGGATAAGGTTCTGATTCTCACCACAGCTAACTATGACTCTGCGATCGATTCGGAGTTCTCGGCTCCGAGGCTAAGAGCCTTAACCTAATGTTTTTACTATTTCTTTCTTTTGTAAATATATACATAAAGTCGATATTGTCATTAATACATGATGATAATGTAGATGATAACATATCGACATTTTAGTTATATTTAGGAGATGTTTTTTTCATCGGATTTTGTTATTCACTTTTAAGGTTATTTTTATGAGTTCTACAATATCGATGGTTGAAATAATCGGTGATGTCAGTGTTTTCCAATTATCTTGGTGTTTATGAAACAGTATCTGCGGCCAGTAGTTTTGAATACTATTTGATATCAAGATATAGTGACTTGTGGTGTCATCTCACAACATGTTTTTAAAGTTCTAATGACACAATACTATCGATAACATGAAAATGATAACTATATCCTCTGAAGTTAACAAGAAAAATAATTCAGTAAGTGATACTAGCGGTTTTTCGATGATTTTGTTTTCGTAAATAAATAGTAAATAGTATAGTTGTGACATAAATGTCAAATTACATCTACGCGGATTTATTATTATTTTCTACGTGATATATATATATATATATATATATATATATATATCATATCCTTTTTTGTAGACAATATTAATGTAGACATTATATAGAATATTGTAAATTATATTAAAATTAACAGAAAAGAGAGATAGAGAGAATGAATTATAAAACAGAGGCAATATCTATTTTGGATATTAATTATAAATTATAATGTTTAAGAAAAAATAACAAATTGCACGAAGTTTTCATTTAATTATGTGACAGGCTGGTAGATTAAAAAAATCTAAAAGTATAAGGATATGGAAAGAAGAAGTTTTAGAAACAACGTTTACAAATATACCTCACTATTTTTTAAAGGTTTTCAAATAAAAAACTAAATCTTTTAAAATTAATTTTTTAATAAGCCTCATATACGTTCTATAAACAACATAGATGACACATTGTCTACATAGATGACATTTCATATGTAGTTTACGTTGCCTACATATGAACATTGAATAATATAGCGTTTACCGGTAAACGCTTAACTGGTAAATAAAAAATAGTTGGGAGAACATCAACAAAACAAATTAAGTCACCGACTATAGTAAATATATTATTAAATATATCATCAGTAATTATCATTGGTTTCTAATATGGATTCATTAATAGTCACCGTGTGTGAAAATATGGGACGAATTCTTTATAAGTTATACGCTACGCTGAAGTTTGCAGTAAGACTCATATAAATAAAAAAAAATGTTTATTCTGTATGATTATAAAGTAAATATAAACACATTATTGAAATCTAATGGTCCTAGCAACAAATGAGTGATATCAAATGATTTGAACATATTAAAGTGAATTTGTCCAATAGTGATTCCGCACTTTTATAGTGATCATGTAGCGATCTTACTTTCAAGTTCTTACTTTCTTTCTGATATGTTTTTCCTAATGTGAACAAAACACAAATTTTGATTTTTACACAATTTATATTATTTCATATATATATATATATGTATATATTTGTGTGTGTGTGTGTGTGTGTGTGTATGTGTGTGTGTGTGTGTTAATAAATCATCCTTTTTCCCATAATTAAATTTTAAATTAAAATTTTATGATATTGAGAGAAAAATTTATTAATTAAGAGATATGAATATATTTTCTATCTCAAGCATATTACAAATTTAGTTGCGTGCATATATGTGCGTACGCGAAAAACCTTTTTTTTTAATTGTTCATATATTATAAATGTCTCAATTTTTTCATTAAGAAAAAATTAACATCAAATGAATTCAAGAATTGTGAAGAAAAATATTTATGTAACATTTTAATATTCTTTTGTGGAATGTTATTATAAATGTTTATACATAATGTTTAAATGTCATCCGGAACGAAAATTCGAAAGGCACGAGTGAGTTGGAAGGCGAGGGTATGCGGTAGAAGCAAGAACGAAAGAGCGGAAACACGCGCTGGAGAAAGAGGCAACGAGGGACTGTAGTATGACGAACGCGAGGCAACCGACGACGGCGATGTGCTGCGGGCAGTCTGCGCACGGACATCGATCGAGGCTCACGTTCCATCCACTCCCCGAAATTCTCGATTGTTTCACTAGTCGCGATTACCGGTACGTTACGTACGGGAGAAAGAAAAAGGGATAGGCAAGGAGGGAGAGAGAGAAAAAGAAGCGAGAAAAAAACAAAAAAGAAAGAGGGATAGAGAAACACTGCGGAATCATTCTTAATGAGGCGATCGTAAATCGTGACAGTGCGATGACACCTGTGCTTTGCCGAGAGGAACCGACCGACGGAACTGCGGTTGCGGGGGTGTTTCTCCACGGTGCACCATAGGAATTTTATGTAACAACCGGAAGACGTCGGTTTGTTGCCATTGACTTCATACCTGATAAGGTAAGCAATGGTTAGCAATGGGAAGAGGATGGATTTTCAATAATTGTCGTCAGTTTTTCCTAATTGGAAACTGTGTTTTATTTACATAAATTTATTGCCTACGTAGCAGATTGGCTTAACGAGAACCTTTTGTATCACCGCATTCAATTAACATGTTCTTTGTATATCAAATCACTCCAAATGATTACTTTTTTGGTAACACAAAGATAGAATTAAATTTATCCTGTTGTGCTTTAATAATTACTCTAATAACTTATGAAAATAAATAATATTAACACTAATGTGCATTAAGGAATTTTCCACATGTATTTTTACGTCGAATTTACTTCTACAGAAAGCATACAAATAAACAATAAAGACATTTTAGTCAAGTTAATCTTGTATATACTCTAAGCAATAAATATATGATAAGATAGTATCGATTCAATCAGGAAAAGCTAGTAGGCGCAAAATTGATGCAGGAAGTTTACTATAAAATTGAGAGTAAAGTTGACATTTGATAATAAAATTATTAACCGTCTCGAAATAATTTAATTTTTCATATAAATAGACTTTTTTATGATAAGTATATTTTTTATTTACGAAATAATGTTGTTAAATTAAATAACTTTTTAAATTATTTATATATTTAAACAAATTTTTAAATAAAATTTATATTAGACTTTACAAGTTAAAAAAAATTAAAATTTTATTAAAAAATTTTTAAAGTATATATATATAACTTTTTTAAATAAAATAATTAATAAAGATTTTTGAAATTCCGGATGACTCTAATTTAAATTAATATTAATAACTTAACAGAAAAATAAGAAATATTTTATATTAATTTTGTAAATAATATGATGCTAAATCCTGTATTTTAACAATTTGTTATAGTATATTTAATCTATTTTATAAAAAAGTTTCATGTGTTGTATAATGATAAAAAGGTTGAAAATCCAATTACGAAAGCAATTCAAGCCGTATATCGGTGGAGGAATGAAATTAATTTATACAGTTATAATCAAACATGAATAATGTAGTAAGCGCAGAAAGATTATATAAAAAGTATGCAAATGTTGAAAATGCTTATAAGTGCTCGTATAACGTACGCTAATGTTCATAAAAAGCATAAAGCGTAAAAACAATTAATTGGAAGGAGGGAACTTTAGTTCCCGTGTGATTTTTTATACAGTTGTTAAATTTTTGTTAAGCTTTCTTACAATACCATATTATGATGCGTTAGATATTCGTTGCGAATAGGTAGAACACGTGCTTAATAAATCACACGTCTTGTGTTAAACTAGAAATGAAGCTAGAATTATAGAAAGATCGATAGCGACATGTTCGTTTCACCGAACTATAATGCCCGTATATAAACTGCAAAGCACGTGAAAGCGGTCGATTCGCTTTTACTTATCATAACGCTATTTCATACGCCCCGCATCCATGGCCACGTGAACGTCGTGCGACGTACTACATTCTAGAATACGTAATTTTAATTTATCGATGTTTACCAGGCTTATGTACCCTGTAGCATATTTCATTTATACTACTTTTAGTGCAATAATAAGCATTATTAATGGTTATCACAACGATATTGCACGACAAAGCTAAGATAATTTTTATAAATAAAAACGTTATTAGAAGTGCGGATGCGGATTGCATAAAAAAGAAGGAGGAAAGAGGGGAGAAAAGGAGAGGGAGGGGGAGAGAGAGAAAGAGAGAGCCGGATAAAGGTACGACAAATTGGAATGTACGTTTGTATAAGATTGTTTGACAAAGTGTTCCTTGTTCGAAGCGAGTATCACCAGAACTCCCGGCATCAAAATTATAATAATATGATATAATAGGATGTCTTTTGGTCAATTAGTTTTGTATGATTCCAATAAATCATTTCATTGTCAGTGACAAAATAATTTAAGCATGTTAATATTTCAGGTTAGAATTTTATTTTTGGACACATATGTGGTTTTACATATAAAAAATGGTTTAATATCTATGATGTTCTGTATATTACATATATGGACATTCTTTAAAATCCATTTGTGACTAAACATTAATAATTTATAAGGTGGTGCTAAAATCTGCAAACTCTTTGTTGATTTTTTAGAGCTATTACCAAGATTAAATTATAATTAATTAATAAGTTAAAAGTTAAGTGAGAAAATTAATAATTTTTAACTTAATTTAGTTACTTACACATTTTATTAAATAAGTCAGCAGTTGTAACTTAAATTAGTTATTTAAAAATGCGTTAACTTTAACGTATTAACTTTTTTTATATATAAGTGAAAATAATTCATCAATATTAAAATCATTATGGGCTGTTTATAGAATAGAACAAAAAGAAATTAGAAAAAGTCCACAGAATTTTTTCGTCTTTTTAACTACCAATATACTTCCCTTAAAATTATGAGTACAAAATAATCGGCATATTTTTTTATAACTAAAAATTATAACTAAAAGACTATCTTTTCATTATTTCACATAAACTTAACTTGTAATTAAAAAGTTATCCACACAGCACAAGATCTTCGTGGGATATCTTGGGGATTTATACAAACATTTAGAAGTTCTCAGGATGTCTTTGGAATATCCTGGGAACTTTTGCGAACATTTAGAAAGTCCTTAGGATGTCTTTGAAACATCTTTGAAAGATTGTGCTGTCTGGATAGTTATGTAAGAAACATATATATTGTTTTGCATAATTAACTTTTAATTTTGATAAGTAATCTCAATGTTAACTTTATATTTAATTCAATTTTTCTTTCTGCAACTTTCAGCTTAATTAAAAAAAATATATTAAATTATTCAATCATGCTAATGGTATATATTTATTTAATTGTTGCACAAAAAAGCTGGTTTAAAAAGAAACATTGAAAAAGCTATAAAATCCGAAAATATCATAAGAACAACATTTACGCTTAGTTTATATATATTTAAAAAGTAAAATTAATGAAATAAACTTAAACGTAATAACAGGTTAACATACTCTAACGTATAAAAAGTACATATAATTTTTAATTCGCGGAAATAAAGCGAACAACCACGTTTAAATCGCGACGAGTCGTTTCAAGTTGCAAGAATCAACGATTAGCGTCGCTGCCTAAGAACTATGCGTACTTCCTCCAAGCTACGTGCCATAGTCATGCTGTTTTTGTAAACGTTGATTTCCTCGTGGAAATCTCTGGTGGCCATCTGTCAGAGGCACTTCGCTCTCATACATACGTTCCGATGTGTTCTTCCTCGCTAAGTCGCGATGGACCTCGTAAACCTGCTCGACGCGTTCTGTAGTTTTTAATTACGATATATTACTCGTGAATGGGCAATTACGAATCAATACGCCGATGTCAGTGCGAATAAAAGTGTTTATAAAATTTTTTTGAGATATTTTGATGTTGAATCGTTAAAGATCCAAATGCAATTTTATTTGAAATTCATGAGGGAAAGAGAGAGAGAGAGAGAGAACGCGCGCGCGATGAATTTTCGATTTATATATGATCAGACATATGAAAAAATAGATTTTCGTGCAATTTCAAGTTATATAAAGATGATTATGTCTGTAAAAGTGGATTCCTACGTTAAGTAGATAAGAAATAACGTATAAGCTATACACGTATAATTGGATTAACAATGTGAAACTCCGCATTTTAAACTTAATTTACTTAAAATTACTACTTAGCAGCTTAATTCACTTTCGCGTAACAGCGCCCAGTTGTGTAACGATTTCTGCATATTTATCCATTCTTCTAGCTTCCGTATACAGTAATTCAGCATGGATCCATTGGGATTGGCAAAGCTGAGTGCGTTGAACTCAGGAAAGTAAGCGCGCCGATAGATGGTTTCTGTTACGTGTGAGATGCATTATAGATTTTTACGGACAACGATTATTTTCCTGTAAACGATTTATAACTTTATACGCTTTATTGCGGATTTCTAATCGTATAGTTTTATGTTACCAGTTACGCCGTACTCGATTTTACAACTAGCTTGTAGTATTGCAAAGTAGTATGTAAACGACACATTTGTTTCTCCAATTTCGAAAGTAGAAGAAACATTTGAAAGATATAGATCAAGAATGAAGTAAAATGGTGAATTTTCTTTTTAAACAGTAATCAGTTATTTTTACTTTTCACAGCATCCGGTTTTCATAAGCAATTAACATAAATCGAATGAGTCACGTGGCTTACATATCGATTTATGATAGCTCCGGCGACGGTGGTATGATTTAGTAAGCAATAGATATGTGTTGATTCTTTTTTCACGTGTTACGTGCACAAAGAAAAAACGGGAAAACGATCGTCAGTTCGATATGCTGAGATAATACAGTCGATGACATTCTACCGACACATCTGGGCGCATCGCTGCGACGTCGGGCACGGTGGGCTGTCGGGAAAAAAAAAGAATTAGAGAGAAACATAAATGCACGTTCGTTCCTATCGTAAATCATTGTCGAAAATATAATAATACAAAAGAGAGAAAGAGAGAGAGGGAAGAGGTACAAGCTCGCGCCATAAACCAAATCGCATCAGTGACTTCTCCTGACCTTTGAGTTCGGTTGACCTTCTTTACAGGCTTTTGTGCGTTACATTTTGGTCGCTTTATGCTCTTTCGACAGATCCTATCGCGCGAGGTCATTGTGCTTTGCAATTTTAAATAGATACGCGTCCGCAGAAATATTTCTCAAGGTTCCACAGATATGGAAGATGATAGGTTAAATATGCAGACTTCATAGCTCCGCCGATTAAACCGAGCTCGAAAGAGCTGCAGAAGCAGCTGGAATTTCTATATATGAGACTCAGATGTATTAATAAAAAGCAACGGGAATTATTTGTATATGGAATATTAATTATTTAATTAATTAATTAATTTTCCACGAAATATTCGATAATATTACGATACATCACCGAATATTTCGAGATAACCTGGCGCTCATGTGAATATATGATTATAAAAAAGTACTGTAAAATATCACAAGTACACTAACGGTAATATGACAGCATGCTACCAACGAGAAT